CTTGGTTTGAATTAAGAGTAGACACCATGCTTTAATTCGAATTGAACTATGAATAGGAAGAGTATGTATGGACATTCGACAACAGGGATTAGATACATGCTTGGTTGTTTAAATTGTTCTTCTATGCTTAATGGGTTCCTAATGCTTAATTTTAGGTTAGACAACAAATGATCAAATTAGGGAATTAGGAACACAAGGTTATGACCACACACCATGGCTTAATCATACATTAGCTAGAATCAATCCGTTAATCTAATTGAACTTGGGAACTTATCTACTTGAGTTAGTTATTTTCTTTCTTCCTTGTTTTATTTATTTCCTTTCTTTTTCATTTCTATTTTGTGTAGGGAAAATGAATTGGATCATTCAATCACCAATCCTCGTGGGATCGACCTCGCACTTACATATGCTATACTACCAAACGGCTCGTGCACTTGCGAGTATCACAAGTTGAGGATGCAGCTGAATCCATTTTGGTGCAGCTATATCGACACAACAGTGTGACCCCAGAAATCCCGGTGAATCTCGGCCGCCGCTCTTAATCGTGGGTTCTGAGCTTCTGGCCGTGGAGACGCATTTATGGCCTGGATAGCTGGTGAACCAATATCTCAGGCTGTCACAATTCTTGTGAGAATGTCCACGTCTAATCACTCTGATCCTCATCACCAAATTCTGACTTCAGTCACTTCCCACATTCCCTCATGCATTAAATGCTTCTTTGTGGCCAGTGGGTTTGCTGCATTAAACAGGCACTACTTCATTAAATGAAGCCTGGGTCCCTGCTATCACGTGATGATCTGACTTTAATATTTCTGGCCGCGATTTTGCTTGGCCTCGGCCTCGGCCTGCGCTTGAGACCGAGATGATCATGCCTTAGCATTTCTTCTTTTGTCTTTAGGAAGGCGAAGTACCTTGGCGAAACGCTGCGTTTCAGCTTTTACGAACAAGTGCCAGGGCCGAGAGAAGGGGCTCCTTCGGCCAACTTATGGCCGTGATTTATCAGGCACAAACACCTTCTCAAAATCTCCACTCTACTTTCTTACATGGGTTGGTTCCACGTCATAGAACACAGGCAAAATTGTTAGTCCAGACACAGTCACGCGTTCAACAATCTTCAAAAGCTCATCCAAACACCACGTAGAAGAAGCATAGTTTCTTGAAAGAATAACTACGGAAATACTGGACTCTTCAATGGCTTTCAAGAGTTCTGGTGAAATGGATTTTCCCCTCTCAAGTTCTTCATCATCCTTGAAAGTGTAGATTCCTCTTCGATTCAAAGCAGCGTATAAATGGCCCGCAGCCGGGACTAGACTTGATAAACCATAAGCTTTGGAGGAAGAGAATGTGAGAATCTCAACTTTCCAATGTGGGACTCTTTATCTTCACATTCTCACACGCCCCCGCACGTGTGACGAATTTTCAAGCCTAACACGTGGACAATACATATTGCGTGATGTGGAGCACGTGTGGCCGTTGGGCTTTCACATGTGGGCTAACCCGCTCTGATACCATGAAGGAAGTTGAGGTTCCACCCCAAAATCAATTGGCAATGGGGGGAGTAGCCCAACTCCTTATAAGCCCTTGCTAGGTTTCTCAACTTTCCAATATGGGACTCTTTACCTTCACATTCTCACAGAGAATATATACACACTAAGGCTCGCTTTGTTGAAAGCAAAAGCAACTTGCAGAACAAAAAAGGAAAAAGACAGAAGAGAGGAAAAGTTTCCACAACTTTGCGGTGTATAATTGAGTCTTTGATTTCACAAATCAATACAACATGGTAACTCAACCACAACAAAGTCTCATGTCAAATAATGGTATTTAGGAATTTTCTGATATTAATCTTCTTCATAGGAAGATAAAAAGATATAAGGTCACATTATGCTACAAGAAAAGTAATTGATTACTAATTATGTACTCTCAAATAGGTCACACTAGCACAACGGAGCAAGTCTTACATATCTTATTGTAGTGCGGCAGCCTCTCATAGATGTGTGGGACGCAAAAGCTCACGTAGTGTGAGGGATTGCCGCGCTACTATAACTAGTGCATAAATGATTTCTTGACATTAAAGAGATACATATAGCGACAAATAGATACCAGACTCGTCAAAAATGGAGTGTTGAACTCACATCCTTACAAATCAAATTTGAAATTTAGTACAACTAACAAATTATTGACACAAAGTTGATTGAGAGGAAAACCAAGTCAAGCAGCCAGTGGAAAACTAAAGAAGCACAAAGTGGAATTGATGATGATAAAGCAACGTATGCTTTCAGAAAGTTAATTAAGAGGCATTGCCTCATTATGGCTTGTCTTTCCCTTTTGTGGTCGAAGAGATGCTCCATTGAATTTGAAATGTTGATGAATAGCTCATGTGCGGTCTTGTGTCTATAGAGCCATAAATTCTTCATCTTCAACTCCTAAACCCTTAAATCTTACGAACCCTTAATAAACTTCATTTTTATATGAAATGAATAAAAAATGGTAGCTCATAATGCCTTAAGCAGGAAGCTTCATTTTTAAAAGATTTTTTTTTTCGTAAAGTTTTGCCAAAAGAGGAAAGATCAATATATTACAGTAAATTATAATGAGTAATGCTATTTGAACACACAACATTGACACACTTAGTTGACACCCGCTGATGTGTCAATGTATCATTCGCTGAACAGAAAACGAGGAGAAAAGAAGAGCAAATGATACATTGACACATCAGCGGGTGTCACTAAGTGTGTCAATGTTGTGTGTCCAAATAGCATTACTCAATTATAATGTTTATTGTGGGAATCGAATTAAATCACCCTAGGTCAAATAATTCCTTCCATTTGGGGATTATTTGACCTAATTGGGAGTTACTCAATTTAATTGGGGGTTACCAATTAAATTGGGAGTTACCTAATTAAAATTGGGATTGATTTGATTCCTATCCCAATTAGGGATTTGATTTAAATCAAATAAATCAAATTCCTAATTAATCAAATCTCACCTAATCAGGGAGGAATAATTCATTTCCATCTACGGAATTATTCCTCTGAAACCCTAGCCTCCGAGGCTCCTATAAATACTTGGCTACGCACAAGGGTTAAGGTACGTCTAAATTCCTACTGAAACTCTGTAGAAATTATCCTTCACAAACCCTAGCCACCATATTCTTTCTCTCTCTTACACAAGGCTCCGGCCACCACACACGGCTCCGGCCACCCTGTTTTTCTTGAAATACCCAACCTAACTTAGGCATCGGAGGGCCTTTCGCCAACACACCCCAGGTGTGGTCCTTTTACTTCGATCTATTTTGCAGGGAGAAGGAGACGGCTACGAAGGAAGAGGAATCTCAATAGAATATTCTCGTGGAAAGAAATTTGCTCCCACAAATTGGTGCTTTCATTGAGAGCGCGAAATTATACTTAAAGCGTGCTCTAAATCCATTTTCCACACTTTTTTCCAAGCAACCATGGTCGATACAAGACATACGAAGAGTAACGCCACCAAGACGAGCCCGTCTCATGGTTTCGTGGTGGAAACCTCTCTACAACCTCACGGAATCGTGGCTGCCAACACTTTGCGGCCACCTCCAACTGCCGGAATTGCAGAACAGCCGCCGCAGACAGTTGCTGGAATTGCAGAACAGCCGCCACATGGTCCTGTGACCTGCACAGCCTTGTAGCCACAAGCGCCAGCGGCCGGAGCTGCTCTGCCACGCCATCCTGCCTTCGGAACACAGCAGCAACCACACCACCCAGCTGCCGGGCTTGCTGCACAGCCCCATGGCTACTTCGACACTGTCCCAGTCTTGGAGCAAATACATTCTCTCCCTCCTCTGCCACCACGCTTGACGTATGCACCTGTGTACGCATCAAATGGAGCCCTAGCCCATATGCCGTTGGGCCCGATGCACACCTCTGGTCAGGTGGACCTTAACTCACGGGTTGATCAGCTCACACAAAGAGTCGACGATCAAAACAACCTGATTGGCCAGCTACTCAGGCAGATCAACTTGAACCAAGGCCCTAACCTTGGACCCCGTGACGAGGAGAGGAGGACACACGAGCATGCCCGCGAGCAGTTCGAGAGGTCCCAAGCTAGTTAGACAGGAGCAAATAGGCAGGGAAGAGAACGAGATCGTGCTGACGAGACGCAGACAGCTGCAAGTCGTACTCTAAGCCGGTCCACGATCCGTTCGAGGTTGGGTCTAAGGACCAATGTACGCGATAGGTTGGGCCCACAATCCAATGTCCACGCTCGCTTGGGCCCATAAGGAGCTCAAGTTCATGAACAACCGCGTGACGAGAGCAGTGATCGACGCTCACCAGCCCGCTCGAAAACCAATACACGGCGACAAGCCGCAGAGGACTCCTCACAAGCTAAATCTCCTAATCTGCCCCATGGGCAGAGCAACCAAGGGGATCAACCCTTGGGAGCTGAGGAGGAAGTTAACCAGCGGCGCTCAAGGCATTGAAGACATCAACTCGAGCCGCCAGCCCTGCGGGCAGAGGATGTCGAGAAGTTAGTGAATGACCGACTCCAAGGACTCCAACTTAAAGGAAGCATGGAGGAGGCCTCGTGCAAGGAAATTGATCGAGTCGACTGCTCGCCCTTTACCGACGAGGTGGAACGGGCTCCGCCGCCAAAGCGGTTCACAATGCCATCCATCACTCCGTTCAAGGGAGACTCTGACCTTGAGAGCCATTTGAGGCACTTCAAGAGTGCCATGATCCTGTACAAGGCAGACGACTCCCTGATGTGCAAAGTGTTCGCGATGACTCTGCGAGGAGCAGCTCAAGACTGGTTCCACACTCTACCATTCGCGTCGATAGGCAACTTCAAGGAGTTCGCCCTCATCTTCACAAAGGAGTACCCCTCTTACAAGACGGTCAGAAAGCATGTAGACCACTTGTTCAACCTACACAAGAAACCAGACGAGTCTCTTCGAGACTACCTCAGACGGTTTAAGGCTGAGAAGGCGAACATCATAGGATGCAATGACCAAGTTGCATTCTCAGCTTTTAAGAAGGGCTTGCCAACCGAACACAAGCTATACCGTGAGCTGGCCATAACGCCAAGCCAAACCTTGGCAAAGGTCTTCGTGATGGCAGAGCCCTACGCACTTTGGGACAATGACTGTATTGCGGCGAAGAAAGCCAGCCAGCAAGCTGATCACCCGATAAGGCAGGCGAGCCAAAAGAGCAACAAGTTCGAGCCCAAGGCCAGAGACAAGCGCATATCGCGACCCCAAGAGGGAGGCTCGGAGACAGGAACCTTCACTGAGTTCACTATCCCGATCCACCAGATCCTGGCACAAGTGAAGGACAAGCCATGGGTGAGAAGGCCGCCACCCCTGAGAGGAGACCCATCTAGGAGGGACACCAATAAATACTGCGCATTCCATGGGGAGCATGGTCATTACACCAACAACTGCAATGCTTGGAAAAGGCACCTCGAGGAGCTGGTCAGAGACTGCCACTGCACGAAATTCGTCGCAAAGAATGCCATCCAGCAGATCAAGGACCGCGATGCAGCTGCCAAGGAACCTTCCCAAAAGGTCATACGGATTAACACCATTCTACCTGATTCCCAGGAGTCCGGGCTGACCACCAAGGAGTGTAAGAGAAAGATCGCGCAGGCGACTTACATCTCCTAAGTAAGTCCTAACTAGCGATCCAGTCATTGAAGATACACCCGTCATTGGCTTTCAAAAGAAGGACTTGATCGGGCTTGATCTACCACATAATGATGCCCTAGTCATCTGCATCCAAATTGAACAAGCTGTGATCGAGCGAGTTCATGTGGATGAGGGAAGCGCAGCCAACATCCCGTAACTATCTGTTATCCAACAGATGGGATTGGAGCCCAAGATCAACAAACTAGCTAGGTCACTCACCGGCTTCAATGGGGCCGCATCGATCATTGTGGGAACGATTGACCTTGACATCCACTCACCCCCGATGGTCTGCTCGCAAACCTTTATGGTCATCGATGAGATCTCCCCCTACAATGGAATCTTAGGCCGACCGTGGATCAACAAGATCGAAGCCATCACATCTGCTCTATACCAGAAGATCCGCTACCCCATCCCTGGTGGCGGGATCGGGCAGATCAACAGTGACCAAGCCATGGCAAGGAGATGCACAGCCCAAGAGCTCAAGAAGAGCAAGCAGCTGCAATTCACACAAGTAATGCAGGCTACTGACGTGGCAGGAAACACTCCCAGCAGACAAGCAAGCCCGAACGGGAAGGGAGTTGTTACCTCAAAATAGCAATTAAGGAGCCAGGATCAAGGCGAGGGAATCCACACGGAAGACTCCCCTGAAAAAGGGTTGGAAGCCTGAGGATGACGTTGAGTTAGTACCCCCTGATCCTGGCACGCCAGACAAAGAAGTGCAGGTCGGCTCGCGCCAGAATCCAGACGAGAAGGATCGAGACGAGGGAATCCGCCCGGAAGGCTCCCATGAACAAGGTTGGAAGCCTGAGGAAGACGTTGAGTTAGTACCCCTCGATCCTGACCAGCCAGACAAAAAAACGCGGATCGGCTCGCACCTAAGCCTAGACAAGAAGGTGGAGCTGACCACCTTCCTCTAGAAGAACAAAAACATGTTCGCCTGGTCGCCATCTGACATGCCCGGCATCAACCTGAACATCATCTGCCACTGACTCAATGTCAACCCCGCCAGCAAACCCGTAGTGCAGAAGAGACGCAACTTCGCTCCCGAGCGAGTTGTGATCATTGAAGCCGAGATCGATAAGCTTCTAGTTGCCGGCTTCATTGAAGAGGTCTCCTACTCAAAATGGCTGGCCAACGTTGTACTGGTGGCGAAACAAGAAAAGGGCAAATGAAGAGTTTGCATCGATTACACCGACCTCAACAAAGCTTTCCCTAAAAACAACTTTCCATTGCCGAGAATCGATCAGCTCATGGATTCAACTTCCGGCAATCAGCTGCTCAGCTTCATGGACGCCTACTCCGGCTATAATCAAATCCTAACATATAAGGATGACAAGGCAAAGACTTCTTTCATCATGGAGAGAGGGACCTACTGCTACAAGGTTATGCCTTTTCGGCTGAAGAATGCCGGAGCAACCTACCAAAGGCTCGTGAATAAAATTTTCAAGGAGCAGATCGGCAAAACGATGGAAGTCTACGTGGACGACATGCTGGTCAAAGCCCCTAAGCGAGCAAACCACATCAAGAACCCGGCTCGTGCACTTGCGAGTATCACAAGTTGAGGATGCAACTGAATCCATTTTGGTGCAGCTGAAATCCACACAACATGTATCATCCGGCCGATTCCTGGGATACCTAGTAACTCAATGAGGTATCGAGGCGCACCCACGCCAAATCAAGGCCATTCTCGAGATGAAGTCACCTTCAACAGTAAAGGAAATACAAAGTCTGACGGGCAAAGCAGCGGCCCTCAACCGATTCCTCTCGAGATCAACCGACAAGTGCAGACCATTCTTCAAGGCTTTGAAGAAGGGGCAAAGAGATAAATGGGACGAGGAGTCTGAAGAAGCTTTCCAGAATCTAAAGACTTACCTCACTTCACCTCTCATGCTCTTGAAGCTAGTTCCTGGTGAAGACTTGTTCGTGTACCTGGTAGTGTCCAACTCGGCCGTCAGCTCAACTCTCATCCGAGAAGAACTGGGGCCCAACATCCGGTATTCTACACGTCAAAAGCCCTTCTCGATGCAGAGACTCGCTACCCAAAAATGGAGAAGCTCATTTTGGCCCTTGTAGTTTCCGCGAGAAAGCTGCGACCCTACTACCAAGCTCACCGAGTCATCGTCATGACCAACTTTCCTTTGAGGTCAATCCTGCACAGCCCTGACGCATCTCAACGACTCATGAAATGGGCTATAGAGCTAAGCCAATACGACCTCCTCTACCGGCCGAAGACTGCAATAAAAGCCCAGGCTTTAGCAGACTTTGTTGCAGAATTCACGCCATCGACCGAAGAAGAGAAGTTGGTCAGCAAAAGAAAGAAAAGTTCGAGAGCAAATAAGACTTCCGCTGAACCTGACCAACCTAGAGACATGTGGCAGTTGCGCGTAAACGAAGTGTCAAACCAAAAAGGAGCTGGAGCAGGTGTCGTCATCATCAACCCGGATGGAACCCTTTTGGGGCAAGCTATCACGTTTGGCTTCCCGGCCTCAAACAACGAGGTAGAATACGAGGCATTGCTCGCTGGCTTGCGCTTGGCAAAGGAGCTGTCAATCAAGAAGCTGGCCATCTACTCAGATTCCCAGCTGATCACAAGGAGAATACATGGAGAAGCACCCAAGGATGATCTTGTACCTTGACAAAGTCCAAGAGCTGTTGAAGGCATTTCCTACCTTCACCATTCAACAAGTGCCTCGAGCGGAGAACGCGCACGCAGACGCACTAGCAAGCTTAGGATCAGCGCTTGATACCTAGTTCTGATGCTCCATCCCAGTCGAGCACCTTGACCAGCCAAGCATAGAAGAGGCAGAGTAGCCAAACTCGATGCAGATCGACAAGGATCCTAGTTGGCAAGACCCTATCATTGACTACCTAGTTAACGAAAACTTACCCAAGGACAAGTCAGAGGCCAGAAAAATCAAACAGAAGGCTGCGAGATACTACATGAAAGGCGACATGCTGGGGCCAAATCGCTTGCTCAGAAGGCTCTCAGCATAGGCTATTTCTGGCCTACCATGCACCAAGACTCTACGGAGTATGCTCGAAGATGTGATCGATGCCAACGGTATAAGCCAATCCCTGGCTTGCCAGCTGAGGAATACCACCTGTAGAATAGTCCATGGCCATTCATGCAATGGGCCATTGACCTGGTGGGACCTATGCCAACAGCACTTGCCAACAAGGAGATGATGATCGTCGCCACGGATTACTACACCAAATGGATCGAGGCAGAGGCTTTATCCTCTACTAAGGAAATTGATGTCAAATGATTTATTTGGAAGAACATCATCTGCTGATTCGGATGCCCGCAGTCGATAGTCACCGACAATGGTACACAATTCGTGGGCAGGCAGATCACCGCATTCCTTGCGAAGTATGACATTAAACAACACCTGTCAACTCCCAGATACCCCTAAGGCAATGGCCAAGCAGAGGCATCCAACAAGATCGTGCTGGACTGCCTGAAGAAAAAACTGGAAGACGCATAAGGAAAATGGGTCGATGAGTTGCCAAGAGTCTTGTGGGTTTATCGTACAACCAAAACGAGATCAACCGGTGAGACACCATTTTCTCTAGCCTATGGGACAGAAGCAATCATCCCCCTACACATCACGGTCCCTTCCATGAGCATTGAGGTGGGCAGTCTTGACCAAAACTGCGAGCAGATGAAAGTCAACCTTGATATGCTCGAAGAAGAACGAGAAAATGCCATTGTTCGAGTTACAGCTTACTAGCAGCAGCTCACATCTTACTACAATAAGAAGGCCATTGTTCGAGTTGTAACATACCAACATCAGCTGGCATCTTACTACAACAAGAAGGCCATTGTTCGAGTTGCAGCTTACCAGCTTAACTCCAAGCAGCCGATGAGCCTCCCTTACCTCCATTGAAGGCAAGCTGCTTCTCGAGTACAAACTCAATGGAGCCTTTTTAGAGCGTTATGTCCCCGACATACGCCCACAGGCGACAAGCCTTACCTCCACTGAAGGCAAGCTACTTCTTGAGTATAAAATTCATGGAGTCTTTTTTTGAGCACTATGTCCCCGAAATACGCACACAGGCAACGAGCCTTACCTCCACTGAAGGCAAGCTACTTCTCGAGTACAAACTTCATGGAGTCTTTTTTTGAGCACTATGTCCCCGAAATACTCACACAGGCAACGAGCCTTACCTCCACTGAAGGCAAGCTACTTCTCGAGTACAAACTTCATGGAGTCTTTTTCGAGCACTATGTCCCCGACATATGCCCGTAGGCGACAAGCCTTACCTCTATTGCAGAAAAGCTACTTCTCGAGTACAAACTCAGAGTCTTTTTCGAGCGCTATGTCTCCTACATACTTACACAGGCGACAAGCCTTACCTCCATTGTAGCCAAGCTACTTCCCGAGTACAAACTCAATGGAGTCTCTTTCAAGCGCTATGTCTCCGGACATACACTTACAAGATACAATAAGAATCAAAGTTTAAAAGACAACTGAAAATTCCATTACAAAGCGGCCAAACAGCCATGTACAACAAGAAATGAGCCTCATTCTGCTCAACTAGCACCATTTGCTTGGCAGCCCCAGTTGCCTCCTCCTCCGCATCTGCCCTAACCTCATCAGCTGCACCACCTTTGGCGTCGTCTTCCTCCATTGCAGCTTCATCAGCTACCTGCTCTTCAACTGCTTCTACATCCACAGCATTGATTTGCTCACTTTGAGCAGAGGGCAAGTCAAGATAGAGCTGCTCACCATCCTCATGTTCGAGAGGGCAACAAGGAGGAGCACCGTTCCTGTAGTCCAAGTATCCCAGCTTGTATGCATTAGCAACAATTTCATGCTTGGATGCCTCTGTGGCTTCAACATGAGTGTCAAACTTGACCAGCAGAGCTATCACCAACTCCCGGATCTGTAGTTTACGCAACTGAAGGACTTTTTGCTCGAACAGACGACTCTTTACCTCTCTTGGCTACAACTTGCAACATTGAGTCAGCTCCGTGCTTGACTATTCGTGGCTTTGCAGACGAGTCGTGACTGTTGAACAGAGGTACAGTCCTCTCAGTTTGATCCCCGAATCAGTGCAGGCCACCCAAACCCTGCTTCTATGCAGCCTCTTTATAAGGCAGATCACGGGTTTCGGGCAGTTCGGTCGGAGACTTGAGCGGAATATCCTGAACCTCCTGTATGCTATTGACATGCTTACTGTTCACACTGACGAGGTGCTAGATCCCGGCAAATGAGGCAGAAGCAACTCCCACAAGGACCTTCTCAGCAGACGAGACCCCCCTTGAGGAAGACTTGCTCGTGGCAGAAGAAGGCCTCAGCTGCTTTCGCTGTGAAGACGTATCCCTTGATCGTGAGACTGTGACTTCATCATGGGCAGATCTACTGCTAGCCTTCCTCTCCTTAGGAAGCTCGGTCGAAGACTCCTCCTGCTTAGCTGGCAGATCACTTAGGTCCAAGCCATGTAGCTTCCATCTTTCAACATATTCAGTAGGAGGCAGACCATCGACCTCCTTCCGATGTTCGCTCAGCAACCAGCGCCATTCACTGAACCGGACAGGGATGTTCAGAGCTAGCTGAACCTTGGACATGTTCGGGTCGAGATCGAGCCTTTTGCAGATGTTATTCTCTGCAAGCATAAGATGGAAGTCAGTCAAAGACATAGCAAAGTTTCAGAGAGGCTATAGCAGATCAAAGAAGTACAACTTACCATCACAGTAGATGTGAGGAACGAGCAGACCGCCGCCGACCTCCTCTTCCCATCTGCCGATGACTTCCAGCACACCTTATGCCACGCATGATCTCCTTGACTCAGACTGTCCCTAGTTCGTGGCACAAAAAAATTGAAGCAGTTTGGACCAACCCCAGTAACTAAACTGGCCCGAACTGCCACCGGCTTTAACAGCAGACCAGCGCGCCTCCTGCCCAGTTACAGCTAGACTGCCCAAGTCAAATTCCAATCGGCAAGTCAAAGACCTCCTCTACTCAGGAGCCCAAGTTACAGAAGGAAGCCCAGTTACAGCTGGACAGCCCAACAGATAATTCACATCTCCTACATGCCACCATGCGCCAAGCAGAAGCTGGGGGGACATTTGTGGGAACCGAATTAAATCACCCTAGGTCAAATAATTCCTTCCATTTGGGGATTATTTGACCTAATTGGGAGTTACTCAATTTAATTGGGGGTTACCCAATTAAATTGGGAGTTACCTAATTAAAATTGGGATTGATTTGATTCCTATCCCAACTAGGGATTTGATTTAAATCAAATAAATCAAATCCCTAATTAATCAAATCTCACCTAATCGAGGAGGAATAATTCCTTTCAATCTACAGAATTATTCATCTGAAACCCTAGACTCCGAGGCTCCTATAAATACTTGGCTACGCACAAGGGTTAAGGTAAGTCTAAATTCCTATTGAAACTCTGCAGAAATTATCCTTCACAAACCCTAGCCACCATATTATTTCTCTCTCTCACACAAGGCTCGGGCCACCACACATGGCTCCGAAGGAAGAGGAATCTCAATCGAATATTCTTGTGGGAAGAAATTTGCTCCCACATTTATGCATAAGGTACTTTCCAGGAAATAACCTAGTCTAAATCAATATACTTTGCTTTAGGAATCTCTTTCAACTTGATTGCAAAAGGAAAAATGAGTAATTCCCAATCAAATAATGTTTAAAAATTAAAACATGAGCAACGAAAGATAATATTAAACACAAATATATTAATCATACAAGGAAATGAGCCCTTTCCCTTGTACTCAAAATTAAAAATTCAACCAAGGTGGTTGGTGTGAGTGGTTCGGCACTCTCATTCCTTAAGAGAGGTCAGGGGTTCGATCCCTGCTCTCGTACGGAGTCACCACTTTGGCCAACACTTTACCCCTTACAGGCCGACCCGGTGTGAGTGGGGATTAGTCTGGGTTGTGGTTAAGGCTTAAAGGTGTCACCCATAGTTGGGGCCCATCCAGGACCACCTCATGGTTCAGACCAAAAAAAAAAAAATTAAAAATTCATATCGAAAGTTCGAAAAATTATTATATGCTAGTACTAAAATGTTGTTATCCTGTATGATATAACCCGTATATGTCTATTAATTTGGTCATTAAATTATATTTAGTTCAATATGAAATTCGAAATTGTGTGTAGTCTAAACTTAACCCCAATATATTTCAGAATTTGGAATTTCTCAGAATCTGGAAATACATTCAATTCCAATTAGGGGTGGGCATTGGGACCGGAAAACCGGAACAGCGGACCGAACCAAGCTGAAAAAATCGGAAAAAAATTGGTTGACTAAAAAAGTCAACAAATTGGCACCAGACCAGACCGGACCAATTTGAACCGATTTCGATTCCGATTTCACATACTGCAGAACCGAATTGGACCAGACCGGACCGGCTGTATTAAATTTTTATTTATTTATTTTAGTTTTGGTTCCGGTTTCACATACTGTAGAACCGGATTGGACCGGACCGGACCGGTTGTATTAATTAATTATTATTTTTTTTTCAAAATATCCCATACTTAAGCCCAATTCTCCTTAACCCAAATAAAAACCCAAACTTTAAAGCCCAAATACCTTTTATTTTCAAAGCCCATTCCATAACCCCACTTCAACTCTCTCTATTTTTCCCTTTCTTTTTTCT